TGCTAAGTTGTGTCCAACTCTTTGCAACCCTGTGGACTGCAGCATGCCAGGCTTCCCTGTTCTTCACCAACTCCTAGAGTCTGCTCAAACTCATGTTCATTGAGTTGATGATACCATCCAACCATCTCATCCTCTGTCAGCCTCTTCTCTTCCTGCCTTCAATCTTTCCCAGCATTCAGGTCTTTTCCAATGAGTTGGCTCTTCACATTAGGTAGCCAAAATATTGGAGCTTCAGCATCAGTCCTTCCAATGAATATTCAGGGTTGATTTCCTTTAGGATTGACTGGTTTGGTCTCCTTGCAGTCCAAGGGACTCTCAAGAGTCTTCTCCAGCACCACGGTTTGAAAGCATCGATTCTTTGGCATTCAGCCTTCTTTATGGTCCAACTCTCACATCCATACACAACTACTGGAAAAACCATAGTTTTGAATATACGGACCTTTGTTAGCAAAGTGATGTTTCTGTTTTTTCAATATGCTGTCTAGGTTTGTCATGGCTTTTTTTCCAAGGAGCAAGTGTTTTTTAATTTTGTGGCTGCAGTCACTGTCCACAGTGATTTTGGACCCCAAGAAAATAAAGTCTATCACTGTTTCCACCTTTTCCGCTGTGAAATAGAAAACGATCTTCATTTTCTGAATGTTGAGTTTTAAGCCAGCTTTTTCATTCTGCTCTTTCAGCTTTATCAAGAGGCTCTTTAATTCCTCTTCCTTTTCTGCCATTAGGGTGGTGTCATCTGCATATCTGAAGTTATTGCTATTTCTCCCATAAATCTAATTGATGTGTGACATCTAGCTGGGCATTTCACATGATGTACTCTGATATAAATTAAATAAGCAGGGTAACAGTATACAGCCTTGACATACTCCTTTCCCAATTTGGAACCAGTCTGTTGTTCCATGTCCAGTTCTAACTGTTGCTTCTTTACCTGGATACAGGTTTCTCAGGCAGGATAAGGTGGTCTGGTGTTCCCATCTCTTAAAGAATTTTCCACAGTTTGTTGTGATCCACACAGTCAAATGCTTTAGTGTAGTCAATGAAGTAGAAGTAGATGATTTTCTGTAATTTCCTTGCTTTTTCAGTGATCCAACAGATGTTGGCAATTTGATCTCTGATTCCTTGGCCGTTTCTAAATCCACCTTGTACATCTGGAAGTTCTCAGTTCACTTACTTTTGAAGCCTAGCTTGAAGGATTTTGAGCATTACCTTGATAGCATGTAAAATGAGCGCAAATGTGTGGTAGTTTGAACATTCTTTGGCATTGCCCTTCTTTGGGATTGGAATGAAAACTGACCTGTTCCAGTCTTGTGACCACTGATGAGTTTTCCAAATTTGCTGGTGTATTGAGTGCAGCACTTTAGCGACATCGTTTTTTGGGATTTGAAAGAGCTCAGCTGGAATTCCATCACTTTCACTAGCTTTGTTCTTAGTAATGCTTCATAAGGCCCACTTGACTTCACACTCCAGGATGTCTGGGTCTAAGTGAGTGATCCCACCATTGTTGTTATCTGGGTCATTAAGACCTTTTTTGTACAGGTCTGTGTTTTCTTGCCACCTCTTTTTAATATCTTCTGCTTCTGTTAGGTTCATATCATTTCTGTCCTTTATTTGTCCATCTTCACATGGAATGTTCACTTGGTATCTCTCATTTTCTTGAAGAGATCTCTAGTCTTTCCCATGCTAGTGTTTTCCTCTACCTCTTTCCATTATTCACTTAAGAAGGCTTTCTGATCTCTCTTGCTATTCTTTGGAACTCTGTATTCAGATGTGTATGTATATCCTTTTCTCCTTTGCCTTTCATTTCTCTTGTTTTCTCAGCTATTTGTAGGGCTTCCTCAGACAGCATTTTGCCTTGGTGCATTTCTTTTTCTTGAGTTTGGTTTTGGTCACCGCGTCCTGTACAATGTTATGAACCTCTGTCCGTAGCTTTTAAGGCACTCTGTCTATTAGATCTAATCTCTTGAATCTATTTGTTACTTCCAATGTATAATCATAAGGGATTTGATTTAAGTCATACCTGGATGATCTATTGGTTTTCCCTACTTTCTTCAATTTAAGTATTAATTTGGCAATAAGGAGCTCATAATCTGAGCCACAGTCAGCTCCTGGTCTTGTTTTTGCTGACTGTATAGAGCTTCTCCATCTTTGCCTGCAAAAATATAATTAGTCTGATTTTGGTGTTGACCATCTGGTGAAATCCATGTGTAGTGTTGTCTCTTGTGCTGTTGAAAGGTGTTTGCTTTGACCAGTGTGTTCTCTTGGCAAAATTCTGTTAGGTTTTGCCCTGCTTCATTTTGTACTCCAAGGCCAAACTTGCCTGTTACTCCAGGTATCTCTTAACTTCTAGTTTTGCATCCAGTCCCCTATAATGAAAAGGACATCTTTTGTGGGGGTTTGTTTTAGAAGGTCTTGTAGGTCTTCATAGAACCATTCTACTTCTTGTTTTCAGGCATTAGTGTTTGGGGGCATAGACTTGGATTACTGTGATGATGAATGGTTTGCCTTGAAAATGAACCCAGGTCATTTTGTAATTTTTGAGATTGCACTCAGGTACTGAATTTTTTGGACTCTTGTTGACTATGGGGGCTACTCCATTTCTTCTAAGTGATCCTTGCTCACAGTAGTAGATATAATGGTCATCTGAATTGAATTCACCCATACCCATCCATTTTTGTTCAGTAATTCCTAAAATGTTGATATTCACTCTTGCGATCTCCTGTTTGACCACTTCCAATTTACCTTGATTCATGGATCTAACATTCCAGATTCCTATACAGTATTGTTTTTCACAGCATTGGAGTTTACTTTCACCACCAGACACATCCACAACTGGATGGTGTTTTTGTTTTGGCTCAGCCTCTTCATTCCTTCTGGAACTATTTCTCTGCTGTTTTCCAGTAGCATATTGGACACCTACTGACCTGGGGGCTTCATCTTTCAGTGTCAGATCTTTTTGCCTTTTCATACTGTTCATGGGGTTCTCATGGCAAGAATGCTGAAGTTTTTTTCCACTTCCTTCTCTAGTGGACCACGTTTTGTCAGAACTCTCCACCATGACCCATCTATCTTGAGTGACCCTACATGGCATGGCTCATAGCTTCATTAAGTTATGCAAGACTGATCCTTGTCATCATTTTTCTTAGTTTTCTGTGATTGTAGTTTTCATTCTGTCTGCCCTCTGATGGATGAGGATAAGAAGCTTGTGTAAGCTTTCTGATGGGAGAGACTGGCTATCAGGAAAAGTGGGTCTTGCTCTGGTGGGCAGGGCCATGCTCTGTAAATCTTCCACTTTTCTGCTGATGAGTGGCTTGCTAATATTTTTTGGGGGGGATTTTTATACCCATATTAATTAATAATTAGTGGTCTTTAGTTTTCTTTTCTTGTGATGACTTCGTTTCCAGAATCAGGTTAATATTGGCCATAAAATGAGTTGGGAAGTGTTCCCACCTCTTCTTTTTTTTTTGAGAGAAACTATATTCTGATTATTGTTATCCACATTGATCTGCATGAGAATTATGAGTCTCTTCCTCTTGATAATTTTGTTTATAAGTCAAAACAAGCACAATTGAGAATGAAGAGGGAAACACCTCAGTTAAGGATCATGAATAGAAAGTGGGTTTTGTTGCTAAGTATATTTTTTGCCAATTTAGTTGAGAATTCTTTGGAGATTATAGAACAATAGTTCGTTGGTTAAAGACACTGTGGTGTATTCATACTATAATGAGCTCTACAATCTTTAAATAGGTTGAAGTACCTCTAAACGTGTTTTTTTGTGGAAATATTTCCATAATGTGCTATTAAGTAAGAAAAATACAGATTTGGCTACATATTAGTTAATATGCTTTTGCATATATGTTCTTATATGCTTAAAGGAAAATGAGGAATTTATGCAATAAACTCTACTTATTTTATCTGGGGAATGAATTTTAGATAAACTACATGCTATGTTTAATCTTTTCATCTTTGAATATTTACAAAAGCAATATATTATAAAAATAATTCCATTAAAAGTAGTTTTTGTAGCACTAAATATTTGAACAAGATATAGAATCTCTTTTTTCCTGAGCTATGTGGGTCCTCTATTTTTTTAAAGGTTCTGGCATATTTCATTTTGAAATTAATTCATATTGCATATTCCTTTTTCACATGTTAGTCTTATCTCTTTTGTGATATTATGAGCTCTTTATATTTTTCTTTTCTTTCTTTCCTATTGTGATATTATGAAACCTTTCAAACATACAGTGGAGTTGAAAGAATTATACTGGAACACTCATATTATTTATATGTTAAAGCACAAATATTATTATGCCATTTTATGAGTTTTGACTAAAGTATACACATGTGTAATTCAAACCTTATCAGAACATAGAATATTACCTTCACTTAGTAAAGTTCCTTTATGCCCTTTCTAGTCAGTTCTCCTCAAGTCAACCACTTGTCAAACCAAGTGGTCAAAGTCAAAACCAGTTCTGATTTTTTTCACCATAGGTTAGTTTTGCTTGTTTATATTATATTTGCATTCATACTACACATACTCTTTTGTGTATTGCTTCCTTTACTTAGCATAATGTTCTTGAGAATCACCCAAGTTTTTGTTTCTGTCATTAGTTTTTATTATTTAATTGTTGAGTTATTCTATTGTATGCATATACCACAGTTTTGATGTTTGGTTCTCTTGTTATTTGAGTTTTTTCTAGGTTGTTAAAGCTGTTAGGAGCGTACTTATACAAATTAATATGTGGACATATGCTCGTCATTTTCTAGGTTACATACATAGGAGTAAATTTTCTAGGTCATAGGACAGGTATATGTTTAGTTTTTAAAGAACTGCAACATGTTTTTCCAAAGTGTTTGTGATTTAACACTCCTGCCAACAACACTTGGTTGTCTTTTTTATAAAATTAAATAATTATTTTAGTCAATCTGCTGGTTGGATAGTGGTATCTTGTTGTGACTTCAGTTTTTATTTCCCTGATGACTATTTTCAGTATTTTCTCTTTCAGACAGTTCGGCATGGTTTTCCTTATCAGCCCACCACATTAGCCTTTGATCCAGTTCAGAAAATCTTGGCTATTGGGACGAGAACTGGTGCTATACGAATGTATCCTTAATTTTTGGTTCATTATTTACTATATTAATACCAATTACATTTCCTTAAATATTCAGGTAAGTGAAATATTTATGACCAAATAAATTTTATTGTTTATTTAGACATGAGTAACCCACGTCATCAAATTAATTGGTATATTTTTAATGTCTGTGAGATAAGTATTGATGTCCCTTTTAAAATCCTTGATATTGGTTATTTTGTGTTTTCAGTTTTTTTCCTGGTTAGTCTAGCTAGAAGTTTATTAACTGTACTGATTTTCATAAGAAGTAATTTTTGGTTTCAATATTTTTCTGTATTGTTTTCCTATATTTTATTTTATTGATTCCTGATTTGGTCTTTTTTATTTCCTTTCTATTGATTAATCTTGGGTTTCATTTTATCTTCTCTTTCTGGTGTTCTAAGGTGAAAACTGAGGTCATTGATTTGAGAAATTTCTTCTTTTCTAATATATGCCTGTAGAGTTGTAAATATCCTCCCAGATTTTGTTTTAGTGTCATCCCAGTTTTGTAAATAAACTTTTAAGATAATTATAGACTTGTGTAGTTTTTAAGAAGTAATATAGAAAAGTCCCATGTACTTTTTCTCCAATTTCCCCCGATAGAAATATCTTTAACTACTAGTATCCTACTACAACCAGGAAATTGATATACTCAAGGTAAAGATCATTTCTATCACTGCAGAGATTTCTCATGTTGCCCCTTTAGAGCTGCATCCTTACCCTCCAGTTCCCTCAGCCTCATCCTTGACTCCTGACAATCACTTGTTTGTTCTTTGTTTCAATAATTTTGTCACTTTAAAAATGTTATATAAATGGAATCATACTGTATGTAATCTTTTGAGGTTTGCTTTTTTCACTCAGCATAATTCTCTGAAGACTCATTGAAGTTGTTGTATGTATTAATAGTTGAATTTTTTTATTGTTGAGTAATGTTCCATGGTAGGGATGTACCACAGCTTGTTTAACCTTTCACCTCTGAAGGATATCTGGATTTTCAGTTTCTGGTTATGATTAAAGCAGCTATGAACATTTGTGTACATATTTTTGTGTGGACATAAATTTTCATTTCTCTTGTATAAATGTCCAGGAGAGCAGCTGCAGGAGTTGTGCAGTAGTTGCATGTTTAGTTTTATGAGAAAATCCCAAACTGTTTTCCAGAGTGGTCATAACATTTTCATTCCCACCAGTAGTGTATGAATAATTCTGTATCTCTATATCGTTACCAGCATTTAGTGTTACTGTAGCCATTCCAATCATTTTCTGGTGATGTCTCATTATGGTATTGTTAGATACTAATCTTTTGTCAGATATATGGTTTGCAATTATTTTCTTCAGTCTTTCTTTTTCTTTTGTTTGTGTTTTATTTTTAAAAATTTAAGTAGTTAATTTGTAATGTATTAGTTTCTGATGTACAGTAAAATGATTCATATATTTTTCTTCTCTATTCTTATCCATTATAGTTTATTACAAGATATTGCATATAGTTTCCTATGCTGTATAGTAGGACCCTGTTTATCTGTTTTATATATACTAGTTTGTATCTGTTAATCATAAACTCCTAATTTATTGTTCCCCCTTCTATCCCCTTTAGTAACCATGTTTCATTTCTATGACTGTCAGCCTGTTTCTGTTTTGTAAGTAAGCTCATTTGTATCATACTTTAGATTCCACATATAAATGGTATTCTTCTTCCAGTCTTCAGCTTATCTTTTCACTCAGTTAATCGGACTTTTAGAGTCCAGCTTATCAGTTTTTCCTTTATAGGTTGTGCTTCTTTGATATCACCTTTTAGAACTCTTTGTCTCACTTTTTATCTTATTTTCTTTTTTTTCTAAATTATAGTTATACATTTTATATTTAAATACAGGTTCCTTTTTGAGTGAACTTTCTATTTGTATTGTCTTGTTTGCTTTTCATAGTAGGGTAATACTGAATTCATAAAATGAACTGAGAAATATTCTCTCTGCATCTGTTTTCTGGAATATTTTGTATAAAATTGGTGTTAATTCTTTAAATGTTTGTAAGTATTTTCTAATGAGAGTACCTGAACCTGGAGACTATGAGATTTTATATCACAGATTCACTTTTTTAAAATTAGTTATAGGACTACTTTAGCTTTCTATTTTATTTAGATAGTTGGTAGTCTGTCTTACTAGTGGTTTGTAAATTTTTATTGATTTTTTTTTTTTTGAGGAACTTGCTTTTTTTTAATTGATTTTGTTTTATTCTTTCCCTTTTATCCTGAATTATCTTTATTATTTCTTTGAGCTTATTTTGCTCTTTTTTTCTAGTTTTTTGAAGTGGGAATGTGTCATTGATTTGAGAATTTTCATTCTCTTTTCTAATATATACATTTAGTGTTATTAATTCTCCTCTTAGTACAGCCTTAACTGATTCCACAAGTTTTGATATGTGTGTTTGAATTTTCATTCAGTCATATGTAGTTTTAAAAATTGTCTTTGAGACTTCTTTGAATCATCAATTACTTAGAAGTATTTTAATTAAATGGCAAGTGTTTAGAAATCAAAAACAAGAAAATTTCCAGTTTTGACTCCATTATGGTCAGAAAACACACACCTTATGATTTTAATTCTTTTAAATTTGTTGGGATTTGTTCTGTGGCCTAGGATATGATCTGTCTTGGTAGATACTCTATAGACTATAGAAGAACATGTGCATTCTTTTCTTTCTGACTGGAATGTTTTATATTTGTCAACTAGATATTGGTTGATTGTGTTGTTGAGTTCTATATTCTTGCTAATTTTTGTCTGATAATTCTTGTCAAGTCCCTGAAATAGAGTGAATTAGGAACTCCAACTCTAATTATGGATATATTTATCTCTTTCTAGCTTCATTAGTTTTAGCTTTCTGTATTTTTAGGGTCTGTGGTTTGGTATGCACACATTTAGAATTGTTATACTTTCCATGGATTGACCCCTTTATCATTATGTAATGTTTTTACTTATTTCCAGTAATTTTCTTTGCTCCAAAATTGACTTTATGTGATTTTAGCATAGCTACTCATACTTTTTAAAAACAAATTAATGTTTACATGTTATAACTATTTCTAACCTTTTACTGTAAACTTATGTCATTGTATTTGAAGTGAGTTTACTGTATATAGAATGTTGTTGGATTATTTTATTTTTTTGTTGAGATATAATGGACATAAAATGTTATCTTAGGTTCATATGTACAACATAATTATTCAGTATCTCTATATATTGTTAAATGATCACCACAATAAGTCTAGTTAATGTGTCACCACATATAGTTACAAAAACTTTTTTTCTTATGAGAATTTCAGCAGCTTTCAAATATAGAGTAATATTAATTATAATCACCGTGCTGTGCATTACATCCTCAGATCTTATTTTACAATGAAAGTTTGGCCTTCTGAACACTTTCATCAATTCTGCGCACCCCACACCTCCTACCTTTGGCAACCTCCAATCTGTGCCCTATTCTGTGTGTTCAGTATTTTTGTTTGTTTGTTTTTTGGATTTCTGTTTTTTAGTGCGAGTGTATAGTATTTGTCTTTCTCTGACTTGTTTCGGTCAGCACAGTGCCTTCAATGTCCATCTGTGTTGTCACAAATGGCTGAGTAACATTCTGCTCTCTGTGTGTGTATGCCATGCTTTCTTTATCATTCATCCATCAGTGGACAGTTAGGTCATTTCCATGTCTAGGCTATTGTAAATAGTTCTGAAATAAATATGAAGGTACAGATACATTTTTGAGTTAGATTTTCATTTCCTTCTGATAAATACCCAGAAGTAGAATTGTTGGATTGGGTGGTAGTTCTATTTTATTTTATTATCTTTTAAAAATATTTAAAATTTTGTATTGCAGTATAGTTGATTAACAATGATGTGTTACTCTCAAGTGTACAGCAGAGTGATTCAGTTATACACATATACATATCTGTTCTTTTTCAAATTCTTTTCCTATTTAGGTTATTGAAGCATACTGAGCCGAATTCTCTGTGCTATACAGTAGGTACTTGTTGGTTAGCTGTTTTAAATATAGTAGTATGTACATGCCAATCCCAAACCTCATTATGTTTTTCATAGTGCTTGCACAATTTACAATCTCACTAACAGTGCACAAGGGTTCCCTTTTCTCTTTATCCTTGCCAACAGCTGTTATTCCTTGTCTTTCAGATAATAGCCATTTTAACAAAGAGATAATATCCCATTGCTGTTTTCATTTGCATTTCCCTGATAATTAGTGATGTTGAATGCCTGTTCAATACCTCTTAGCTAATTTTATGTCTGTCTTTTTTGCAAAAGTATCCATTCAGATCCTTTGCCAGTTTTAAATTGAACTGTTTTGCTATTGAGTCATATGAGTTCTTTATATATTGTGAATATTAATCCCTTATCAGACGTGATTTGCAAATATTTTCTTCCATAGGATAGGTTGCTTTTTTATTGTGTTAACAGTTTCCTTTGCTGTACAGGAGCTTTTCAGTTTGATGTAGCCACACTTTGTTTTATATTTTGTTGTTATGTTTTTCTTTTTGTGTCAAATCTGAACTCATTGCCAAGAGTGGTTTCCAGGAGTATATTGCTTATATTTTCTTCTAGGAGTTTTATGGTTTCATGTCTTTTGTCCAAGTTCTTAATCCATTTTGAGTTAATTTTTGTATATAGTGTAAGATAGTGGTTCAACTTAATTCTTTTGCATATGGCTGTCCAGAAAACTCCAGTGATGCAGTTTTTCCTGCATCATTTATTGAAGGGACGTCCTTCCTCTGTTGAATATTATTGGCTTCCTTGTAAAATACTTGTTGACCAAATATGCACTGGTTTATTTTTGGGGTCTTGATTCTATTACATTGGTTTATGTGTCGGCTTTTATGCCAGTATCATATTGTTTTGATTACTTATAGCTTTGTAATATAGTTTAAAATGAAGGAGCATGATAAGTTTAGCTTTGTTCTTCTTTCTCAAGATTGTTTGTGCTATTCGAGGTCTTTTGTAGCTGTGTA